AGTACATTTATCTTCACTCTGCTTTCATGTTGCGTTGTTGCTAGATAAAGAACAATGATTTGATTCTTTATTCTTTCTTTTCCCAGCCTGGACATTGAAAGCTGCTGGGCTAGTTGTGAATGTGACTATGTCCAATATAGCCCTTCTGAAAGTAGTTTACAAGAGGCAGATAAACTCTGTGTACGTTACAGTTACAACTTCGTACATGAGTATGTCTTCGGCGTGGCTTAGTTTGATGAATCATGGCAAAATACTGTTTCTGGATCAACTGTCTTCTTTCGCTTTGTGTCGGACGATGCTGCACATTACAAAGTATATAATCTAACCTTCATTGCTGCCTCCGGACAGGGTAAGAAAAACCTCTCCAAACCAACATAACAAGAAGAGAAACAAAAGACCATCCATGACACGAACAAGCAACTAAACACACCATAATGTTTGAATAGATAGCTCTAGAGCTGGCTCCAAAGATCTTTCCCCGGTTGTTCGAATGTTGGATAGCGCTATCCACGGGATAAAACTTTATTCGATGGATAATGCTACGTGTTCTTCAGTCACTTATCTGTCGGATAGCGATTTAATCGTTGGATAGTGTTATCTTTCCTTTGAACAACCAGGCCCTGATGGCATACATTAAACACATTTCGAAGTGAGTCTAGAAAGCTGGGGTGAGTGCATCAGGTCGAGACTTAGTTTAGGGAGAGGTGTAGAGGAACAACTGATTGGCCTTTGTATCCCTTGATCTTAAAATGTCCCATCGCACAGGTTATATTACTCATCAGAAGAAAGGAAAGACCCAACAGAAAAAAGAAAACCACGCTAAAAAACCCTTGCTCCCTTATTTCGTGAAATTCAATGCAGACATTTTACCACCAAGCCTCAACGTGATATATTAGACTGAGTTTTTTTTTACTCACTTTCGAATCAGTTGGATGAGCTAAAGCAAGAGTAAATTAATAATTGGTTATATCAACTAAGTTAAAATTGTAAATTGGCCACCGTAACGAATAAAAAAGCTGACGTTTCGAGCGTTAGCCCTTCGTCAGAGCGAATGGAGAAATTGTTATTGCTCAAATAGTGCTTTACTGCGAAGGATCGTGCACATATACGTTTCATAACCGCAGTTCATACATATGTTTCATATGTTTGTTGTTGTTTGATTTATCATCTACGGGTTTATGTCGAATTAATTTGATGGCCTGCTCCCAGTTGGCTTGTTAGCTCAATTGGTAGAGCGCTGCACTAGTATCGCAGAGGTCAGTGGTTCGAATCCCGTACAGGCCTGAAATTTTTTTCAGGTCTGATTTTCACTATTGCTCAAATAGTGCTTTACTGCGAAGGATCGTGCACATATACGTTTCATAACCGCAGTTCATACATATGTTTCATATGTTTGTTGTTGTTTGATTTATCATCTACGGGTTTATGTCGAATTAATTTGATGGCCTGCTCCCAGTTGGCTTGTTAGCTCAATTGGTAGAGCGCTGCACTAGTATCGCAGAGGTCAGTGGTTCGAATCCCGTACAGGCCTGAAATTTTTTTCAGGTCTGATTTTCACTATTGCTCAAATAGTGCTTTACTGCGAAGGATCGTGCACATATACGTTTCATAACCGCAGTTCATACATATGTTTCATATGTTTGTTGTTGTTTGATTTATCATCTACGGGTTTATGTCGAATTAATTTGATGGCCTGCTCCCAGTTGGCTTGTTAGCTCAATTGGTAGAGCGCTGCACTAGTATCGCAGAGGTCAGTGGTTCGAATCCCGTACAGGCCTGAAATTTTTTTCAGGTCTGATTTTCACTATTGCTCAAATAGTGCTTTACTGCGAAGGATCGTGCACATATACGTTTCATAACCGCAGTTCATACATATGTTTCATATGTTTGTTGTTGTTTGATTTATCATCTACGGGTTTATGTCGAATTAATTTGATGGCCTGCTCCCAGTTGGCTTGTTAGCTCAATTGGTAGAGCGCTGCACTAGTATCGCAGAGGTCAGTGGTTCGAATCCCGTACAGGCCTGAAATTTTTTTCAGGTCTGATTTTCACTATTGCTCAAATAGTGCTTTACTGCGAAGGATCGTGCACATATACGTTTCATAACCGCAGTTCATACATATGTTTCATATGTTTGTTGTTGTTTGATTTATCATCTACGGGTTTATGTCGAATTAATTTGATGGCCTGCTCCCAGTTGGCTTGTTAGCTCAATTGGTAGAGCGCTGCACTAGTATCGCAGAGGTCAGTGGTTCGAATCCCGTACAGGCCTGAAATTTTTTTCAGGTCTGATTTTCACTATTGCTCAAATAGTGCTTTACTGCGAAGGATCGTGCACATATACGTTTCATAACCGCAGTTCATACATATGTTTCATATGTTTGTTGTTGTTTGATTTATCATCTACGGGTTTATGTCGAATTAATTTGATGGCCTGCTCCCAGTTGGCTTGTTAGCTCAATTGGTAGAGCGCTGCACTAGTATCGCAGAGGTCAGTGGTTCGAATCCCGTACAGGCCTGAAATTTTTTTCAGGTCTGATTTTCACTATTGCTCAAATAGTGCTTTACTGCGAAGGATCGTGCACATATACGTTTCATAACCGCAGTTCATACATATGTTTCATATGTTTGTTGTTGTTTGATTTATCATCTACGGGTTTATGTCGAATTAATTTGATGGCCTGCTCCCAGTTGGCTTGTTAGCTCAATTGGTAGAGCGCTGCACTAGTATCGCAGAGGTCAGTGGTTCGAATCCCGTACAGGCCTGAAATTTTTTTCAGGTCTGATTTTCACTATTGCTCAAATAGTGCTTTACTGCGAAGGATCGT